AAGAATGGTGGAAATGGAAGAGGGAGAAAACCCAAGGAAGAAGAAGGATTGTTCCCATAGCTCCTAGCTCGCCTCCGGGTGCCCAAAGATCCAGATCCCTTAGCGTTTCAGACCTAAATATACCATTTTTGCCACATCAGCGTCCCCACCGCTCAGTTGCACCCCAACTACAGCATTCCAGAGAGCAGGGCGCTCAGTTGGAGCATTCTAGAGAGTAGGCCCTCAGTTGCAGCCCAGCTGCACCTCAGCTACAACATTCTAGAGACGAATGGGGCTCAGCTGCACCCCAGCGACAACATTTATCTTTACTCAATATTTCCTCTTTTACATTCATTCTTGCTTATATGGTTCTTCAATTCTTCGGTTTGGCCAACAAGCTTCATGTAATTGATCTAACAAACCAAAAAGTGGGGATTAGAAATGAAATTTGAATCAATACAACTCAAGATGTAACTACTTAGAAACATAACAAATTTAGGCATAAATAAGGTAAAAAGCTAAGAAAGAGTTGACATTTTCTCTCATTTCAATACTAAAATCATGGTAAAATATGTCATTATCAATGGGCGAGTCTGTTAGTCCTGATACACAAAAGTGAGCATTTAATCATGTTTTTGCGAGTGTTTATAATTCCTTAAAATATTACACTAATAAAATCACCTAGGGGGTTGGGAAAAGAATCTTAGAGGTTGTGTGGAGAGCTAGGAAGATCTTCCTCTCCTCCTTGGGTTTTCTCCTTCATCCATTGTAGTTTTCCCTCTTTTGGGGTTGAGGAGGAAGATGGGTCACAAATTAGAGGTGTTGATGCAAAGAAGAGGCACAATTAGAGCATGAAGCAGTTGCCAAAAACCTTGGGAAATAGCATGCGTCATGTAACATCCCAAAAATACAGTATAAAACCATATAATAGAATATTCACAATTAATAATATTACAGTTCAGTTCTAAAAGAGAAGATGTACGTTTATGGTCGAACGGCCTTACAACAATACTTCAAAATTTAAACTTTACAAAACAAAAGTCTAGACCGAACGGTTCCAAAACTAAGCTTACACCGATCGGTTATACAAAATAGAACCAATTCTAACGACCGAACGGTCTTATGGTTCAACTTTCACTTCTACTTCTACTAGAGCCTCTTCCAGTAGACACTCTTCTCCTTCTGCTCACATCCACAGGATGATCATTGCAACAGGAAATGACGGCCGAACGGAAAATACAGACAAGACAGGAAAATAGGGTAAGCTTATGTAATTTAATTATTTCAGAAAACATAGAATTCACACAAATCTAACATAAAATCCATAGGTCAATCATGCAACAAAAAATCATACATTTCCAACCATAACCATGCAGTAATGCATGCAACGACCGATCCCTTGACTTTGACTGTCCGGACTGTATGAATTCTGTGTAGCTACGACGTTTTTGCACTCGGGTGATGTAATAGCTGGGATGCCCTCAACAGCTGCCACCCGAGGTTAGTCCGTTCCGTCCAAGTTCACCTTATGGACTAGGACCTCTTGCCATTCTCACACATGACTTACTCCTCTCTACTTGAGAATGAATAATCACAAAATATCAGGATAAACGCCAGCTAAGCATAACCACTTTCATACTCTACCATTCAATAACCAATCCTGAGATATTCCTCCCTGGAATACTATTTCATTTCCATACTATTCCATTCATATCACATTTTAAATACCATCATATTTCATCAATACAGTCAAACAGAAACCCAGAAAACAAGATCCCATCTTTGAACAGAACCGAACGAGAGAATACTGTTTAGACTAACATAACCGAACCCTAATAAGACCGAGTGGTCTTTCACTTATCTACAGAATAGGACCGAACGGTCCATACTAGGTAAGACTCATCAAAACCTAACACTTATGATAATACGAAATTTTTACTCGGTACTGAACAATTATGACCGAACGGTCTTTACTACACCGAACTTCAAGAATGTTTGGAATACTATAGAATACATATAATTAAACTTAACCGAAAATAATGAATTCTTTTATTAGAGAACTAGGGGTTTAAACTGAACACTACAAACCATGGTCGAACAGTATTGAGTTTGGACGAACACTCTTAATACCTAAAACAAATATATTACGAAATGTTATAAGACCAAACGCTTAGTTTAACTCCGAGCACTACTGAGACCGAGCACCTGGTCTATGACCGAGCACTTGGTCTATGACCAAGCACTACTGAGACCGAGCACTTGATTCAAGACTGAGCACTACTGAGCTTATACCACCTCAACTATCCAACCTTCATCCAGTCCATAATTGTTGAGTAGCGAGTAAACATTCTATATTATCATAAGTGTTAGGCTTCTGATGAGTCTTACCTAGTATGGACTGTGCGGTCCTATTCTGTAGATAAGTGAAAGACCACTCGGTCTTATAAGGGTTCGGTTATGTTAGTCTAAACAGTATTCTCTCGTTCGGTTTTGTTCCAAGATGGGATCTTATTTTCTGAGTTTCGGTTTGACTGTATTGATGAAATATGATGGTATTTAAAATGTGATATGAATGGAATATTATGGAAATGAAAGAGTATGAAAGTGGTTATGCTTAGCTGGCGTTTATCCTGATATTCTGTGATTACTCAGTCTAAAGTAGAGAGGAGTAAGTCATGTGTATGAATCGCAGGAGGTCCTAGTCCATAAGGTGAACTTGGGAGAAACGGACTAACCTCGAGTGGCAGCTGTTGAGGGCATCCCAGCTATTACATCACCCGAGTGCAAAAACGTCGTAGTTACACAGAATTCATACAGTCCGGACAGTCAGAGTCAAGGGATTGGTCGTTGCATGCATTACTGTATAGTTATAGTTGGAAATGTGTGATTTGTTATTGCATGATTGACCTATGGATTTTATCTTAGATTTGTGTGAATTCTGTTTTCTGAAATAATTAAATTACATAAGCTTACCCTATTTTCCTGTCTTGTATGTATTTTTTGTTCGGCCGTTATTTTCTGTTGCATTGATCATCATGTGGATGTGAGCAGAAGGAGAAGAGTGTCTACTAGAAGAGGCTCTGGTAGAAGTGGAAGTGAAAGTTGAACCATAGGACTGTTTGGTCTAGACTTTTGTTTTGTAAAGTTTAAATTTTGAAGTATTGTTGTAAGGCCGTTCGGCCATAAACGTACCTCTTCTCTTTTAGAACTGAACTGTAATATTGTTAATTGTGAATATTCTATGGTATGGTTTTATACTGTATTTTTGGGATGTTATGTCACTCTTTTTTTTAAATATTCTATATATTTAAATAACATAACATAACATAACACCAACATGTTATGTCACTCTTTTTTTTAAATCCTTATAGATATATTTAAATAACATAATTAACATTTCTATGATTAAGTAAATATAAATATAATTAAACTTAATCTTGTTAAAAATATTAATTAAAAATATTAATTTTAATAAAAATATTTGTTAAGATTTATATACAATTTAAATTTTGTTTGAATTTGAGGAGGGAAAAAATTGTTTAATTTTTAAAATTAAGACTAAATTGAGACAAAATAAAAATACA